ATGTTTTAATAGCACATTTTTTAATTGCTGCCTAAGTTGTACGAGTTGAACTTCAAGAAGTAGAACCACATTCCAGGTAATAAATCTCACTTAGGTATTCGCTAGTTTAACCGCAATGCCCTTGAGGTAGCCTTGGCCAAGGCGATTTCAGCGCTGTTTTGTCGCGCGTCGCGTATGGGGCCCACGGCAAGTGCGTATCACCATGTATTCACGACACACCAACGCCGGTACGATACGATACGGTACGACGAACCTCATACAGAAAACGGTGTGCACTAAATATCATATACACGTACGTGTGTTTGTGCGTATCAGGCGTTGTCTGACGAGTTACGGACTGGTATAGAATATGCTTTGTGCGTATTGTCTCTCACGTACGGGTAGTTCGCATGGACCTCGGACAAGTACGTAAAACCTGGAAAGTTCCCGTTGGATCTAAACGTGAGAAACTGCAACTTTTTCGGAAGGTTTAAAATTATGCAGTGAACATTCGCTGATTTCGAAATGGACATCTTTGGAAAGTGCAAAAGTTATGCAATTGGAAATTTTTTCATGCTTGAAGATGACTAATTACACTTCTTTTGAGAGATTTACCGGATGTGATTGATCATTATTTTGTCGAGTATTCGTTGGAAGATATACATTCTGTGCGGGATACGCTTCTAAACTTTCAAACAGGCATTTGACGCACATGCACCCGTGCACGATAAAAAAAAAATTGTCGCGTTCGCGTTCACGTTTGCGTAATCATCTAAACCTCCCTTTTGCGCCAGTCCTGGACAGGTGGTACCGTGCACGTTACATATCTCTTCGATGAATATATGTTTTGCCAATTCACGTACGCGTCAAGCTGCAGGATATGAGGGTGAGTGAGGAGGCACTTCAGTTATGGAGTACTGAAGTGAATACGTCACGCGCACAATTAGTGTGTAAAAGGCATTAGCGCGAGAACCAACGTGTGAACCAACACGCGCGTACTCCATTCGTTTGCACTGCACTTTCTGGTTCACAGTGACGTCACACTTAGTCTGTACGTGAATGCGGGTGGTGACAATGGGAAACTTTGAGACGCTTGGTGGCAGCAAACATACTGGTTCTTTTTAGCAGTTCTTGGCACGCGCGCATTGTTATGAGCACGCGCAATACTGTGAAATATTGGACTGGTATGTCTGCTGCCACCAGTGTCTCAACGTCTCCCATGTGCAGACAACACATGCGAATGGTAGTCCGTCTTGACCGTCGGAAACCGGGATGCACGCACTGCATATACACAGCGGAGAGGAATTATTCGCCCAGCGCCTTGAGGCTACACACAGTACACTTGGGGAAGAAAGCAGGGCTGGACCGTAAGGGACATTGAGGCAGTCCACCAGCCTCATGAGGAAAGGCCATATTCATTGATTTGCCTTGCCCTACCCCCGAGTCCAAATGAACCAAACATGTTCATTCTTGTGGTATGAATATCAAAAGATTAGTAGCAGTCCCTAAAAAGGCAAGAAAAATTGGAATGTTCATTACATGCATAAAAACCCAATGAGATCTAGCATTCAGGCAGAGAGTCGCACATCGAACCAGCCGAATAAACCACATGAGCTACAGCTCAAGTTTGTCTCAATTCGTCTCAGGCCTTGTGTCGATTCATAATTATACGCCGAATCTGTCGGGTAATAGTAGTCGCCGTTTATCCTGGGCAAGGATGGAATTAAGTCACTTGTTTCTTCTTTTCATGTAGGTAAAATAAGAAAGCCTCCGCTCTTTTGCATTTTTCAGGAACGTATTCCACTTATCATACTTTTTAGATGTAGTGAAATCACTCGATTAAGAGTCAAGTTAATTTGCCTCTTGACATCTATTTATTCGTTTTTCATCAGGATTATTACCATCAAAAACAGTCCATGCCTTGGTTTTGCATGTGGATGTACGAGTAAAATCCTTTCAGTGAAATCCAACCCTGCGCTGCATATATGTTTTTTTTCCCATGGGGACTGTGGTGATGCCGGTATTATAAATCCCGTTATTATCAATTTTTGAACATAGATTTTCTTCTAAATGGTTTAAGCTCCTAAATGGATGTCCCCTGCACCCTCAAACCAATAAACCCGAAAAAAAGGAAAAGGTAGTGAGCGTTAGACCCTATAGCAGTTCTATGTTTGCTTTCAGTAACTGCTCCGGAGGGTAACAAGACACAGTAAAGGTGACATATTTCAGGCTGTTTAGCATGAACAGAGGTAGGATTACATGGGAGGTGATTGCAGTTGGCCGTTTTTTTCAATTAATTAGCAAAAACGGCGTACACAGGAGACGTCATTGACTCTTCACAGAGTTTAAAAAAAGAACTATAAACCACGCCCTTCATAGCAACAATCGTCCCGAGATAGTGGTAGAGAAAGATTTCCCGCGAAAATCCAAGCATCGAGTAAACGGTTGCTTACGATTACTTCCAACATTATAGCAATAAATAAAAAAACAACTTTTACAAGATCCCCTTTACCTCTCATAGACTGAACCTTTGTTTCATATTAACTAAAAAATATCTCACTTGTCATGACTAGTTCCCCTCCCCCCCAAAAAAAAATTTTTCAATTAGTTATGCATGAACTATTTCCACAACGGGCAATTCCGGCCCCAGTAGACTCGCGAATTGTCTACTAGTAAAATGATGGAGCGCCCTCTGTAGGCTGAAAAGGAATATCAAGGGGAGGTTCTCCTACTGCTACACAGAAAAGCAAAGAATCAGACGAATTTTAGAAAAGACTGTTTTTTTTTTCTTTTTCAATGTCCTTCCTCTACCAATTCATCGAGGCACACTTACAATCCAGCCGTATGGGCGAGGCTTCATATCACAGTAGACCTCCAGGCCGTCAGTATACATCGACGGGTAGATGGTATACACACCACTCTGGCGGATACCACGGTTATTCAAGACTTCGCAATCTGAAAGCAAGAAAATTTCAGGCGTGGAAAACGCCGTCCTTTTTTTCTCCGAGATCTGTGGGAAGAATGACCCTCCTAGAAGTAAAGTGAAACGTATTCATGAACACGCAGTGCAGTACATTTAAGTAAACGTATTTTTTATAAACGGTGGGTGCACATGACCATGGTTGGCTCATAACTATGTTTGAGCATCGCGTTCCAATCCCACTATGGATCTGCCTTACTACCATTGCAGCTCTGTTGTATACTTCTGATGACTTGAGGAGAATGCTCAGGATTCTAATAATCCCATCACAATATCGCTGATATCATTATATAGGCCAGCTACGTTTTCGGTAATTTGCTTCATACTTGGTCGGGTAGTCACGTAAAATAAGGCCATGGAGTGAATGTTCAACGTTGTGGATTTATTTTGGGTCATGCATAAGCTAGAGCAACTATGAGTAGACACTTTTTAAAATTAGCTGAAGACTTACCTGAAGGCTTTTGATCGCAATGATTACCCTTGAATCCGGGTGCACATTGGCAACGGAAAGACTCGCCATATTGTGAGCGTGTTCCTCCGTTTTGACAAGGGTTTGGACTGCAAGGATCTTGACAAAATCAAATGGGATTAAAACATTCAAATTATTTCTGGAAATCACAAAACATGGAGGGCCTGGAAATGAAATAAAATGACTGAGACAAAGGGCTTACATTAGCACAAAAAAAGTAAGATCTCGTGAACAAGACACGGTCTTGACACAGTTTAACGACAGTAAACGACTGGATCAATTCTGTGTCAGAATATTGAGGCTAAACCTTGCATGAGGCTTAAGTTGTGGAGAGCAGTTGTGTAAATTTGTGCTGGAAACTAGGGGAGGGGCGGGAGTTGAGGGGAAGAATGATGGCTTGCTCGGCCAATTTCAAAAGAGGGAGGGGTGATACTGACATATCATGTGATACTGGGGTGGGGGTGATTTTCAGATGTATATCTGTAATAAATATTACACTCCTGCAGAACCTTACACCAAAACGGCGCATTCATGACTTTTCAGAAACTGTTCGGACGGAACAAATTTGACTCGGCAAATTGATTTCGGAACGGCAGAGGATTTTGGCTCCACGGGGTCTGCCATGCTCATTTCATTAAGTACGGGAGAATCACAGTGTGGTATCAAACGCCGTGCTACTGCCGAGTGGAATGCAATTACTATCAGAAGTTGGTCCTAAACTTTGTTGATAATTTGGAATGTGCATGTTCACAATGAGTGGTAGAGTTGAGAAATAATCATCAGCAAACAAACAACATAGACAAATATGGCGATTGAAAATGGAAATTTCTCAAAACGCACGGGGCAGCTTGCTAGACGGAGATCGGGGGAGATGGGCTTTCAGTTATACCATTCCTCTTTCCTATTTTTGTTTGTTATGAGATAAGATAAACTCAAAGGTAACCTTTGAAACTAAAAATCCTGTCCGGATGTCGGAATAAGACTACTAAATGATATCGAACTGTTCACTTGGGTGATATTTCATTGAGATGTCATTGGAATATAGTCGGAACCTTATCGTAGGGCCTTGGGCCTAGTCATCGATTTATTTCTAGAAATAAAAAGCAGTGCTCACCAAAGCTAAATTCGTTTTGTTTACATTACATTTTCGTACTTTAACAATAGGGTCTAGTATACAAACCATGACAGTCAAAGAAGTGATGAATCTCCTCCTGGTCGCTGGTAAAGATTGGAGTATCCGTGTAGAACGGTTCCTGTGATCTCTGGAGCGGCTTGGTGTACAAGGGACCCGGCCAGATGCTGGTACACCGACAGTGATCGCTCTTACTCCCAGGCAAGACCCAGCGAAGACGTCCATTCTGGCGTAGGTCTGGCTCTTGGCTAAAGTAACACTCCTCACCCAGAACCACGACCCAAAGGGTCACTTGCAATGGAAAGATAAGGCACACTAGAAAAAGCACACCCGTCAAAGGTTGTCGTGAGAAATCTATGTGGGTTCTGTGAGTCCTGCTGTACAACCTGATGACTTGCCATATTTAAGGCATAGCAATTTATGTATATACAAATGCAAAAGAAGGCAAACTTTATTTGTAACAGTGATGGGATGGAGGCCACAACTCTCTTGGACAACATTTTGTCAGTTGCTCTAGGGCCCTAATAACGTAAGTTTATTTCTTTTCATATAAATGGCACCTTACATTAAGTTTTATAGAAGCTTCACATAACCACAAAATGTCCAAATAAATCTTACATACACCCCCGATTGCCATAAAACGATTGCAAAAAATCACAGGAAATATTCAGTTATCGCACTGAAACATGTCCCCTCTTTACATCAGCCTGAAAAAATAGACGAAAATATGGCTTCGGAAATATGAGTATGCGTTTCTACAATTTATCCAACGTGAGGAACATTTTATGCTGTTGTCTCCAATAGCGTTGCTTTACAGTATAGAAAAATTATAATTTATCATGGCAGAAAAGGCGAAGTATAAGTAATTGAGCGTCGACCTCTCTTGTATCAGGCTCATTAACACAAACACACTTTCCTTAGACTGGCACAATTGCCCATGTTTTTACAGAAAATTATTGACAATTACATTAACATTAAACAGCCCACCCCAGACAACACAAAGGTTTCGTCTGCCATTTCCCACGTTTGGGCTTGATAGTGTAGAACAGAAATTTTCCGTATTATACGTATTTGCAAATTAAACATGTATGGATGCTTCAAATCAAACCTAAAAACAGAACAAAATGTCAAGTCGGAGGCAAATTTTGCCTACAGCAAGAGAAACTTTGAAAGTAGATCAGTACAGGAAGCAAAATGGAAAACGATGACGTGCGGCGTACTAAGGCATAAAGGTAAAAGGCGTAAGCCTTATAAAGAGACGACACAGCAAAAAGGAACACGATACAGAACGACAATCGGAGAAATTGATCAAACCGATAATGCCAAGTATGGGTCAGTCATGAAACCATTCATTCAAATCAGAGCTGAGCATAAATGTACATGTTTAAACATCAAAAAGAAATCGAGTGGTGGACAGATACACTTGACTACAATTTATGTACAAATGACGCTGTCAATTTTTTAAAAAGTAAACCAGACAATTAGTCAGCGGTTGAAGCGCCTTAGAGTAATTAGAAGCAAATCGCCATTTAAAAGTATTTTAAAATCAATCTGATCTTCATATGAAATGACAGACAATGTGACAAACGGAAGTGGAAGAAATATAAATCAGAGCGTAATTAAACAATGTTTACAACTACATGTACAAATAAGAGTCTTTGACACGTAATAAAATGTGCAGTACACTGCACATGTGCTCCATGAAGTTAAGTGGAAATTTTTTGAAGCCGGCTATAAATGTACCTGAAAATCCTATTGTTTGGTAGTTTGTGAATATCGGTGTAAGAATAATTATTTGGGTTTTTGTTTATAGGTAAAATAGAGATGCAGTGATTTATATCCGCGCTTGTGCGAAGTCTGATGGTCAGTCATAATTAGCATTGAAGGCAGTCAGAAAATTAATCAGCATCCGAAACTGTTTGAAGTGTACGGATGAAAATCTCCTGACAACTAGATATCCTCGAATTTGCAATTTTCTGATTTGGCTAAATTATTCAAACACAAATGGATTTTACCCCAGCATAATGACT